GCAGGGGCACGGTCTGCACTCCGCAGGCCTCTGCTCAGCCCTGGAGGTGCGCTGCTCTCCACTAACGGTGGTTCACRGGTGTCCGCTTTACTGTGGGGAACCAAGACGGCAGAAGGTGTTCCTGATGTCTGTAACCGATGCTGAGCGGTGCGGGGACAGTGACCTCCCCTGCCCTCCTGGCCATGTTCCTGTTTATGTGGCCCGGAATGCTCTGGCCGCCTTTGCTGCTCGGCTGTGCTGCTTGTTCACCYGCTGTCTTTTCACTGAGACGCCAGGTCCTTCACCGCCCCAGCRGCTCTGTCACCAGCCTGTACTGTGGCAGGAAGGTTGTTGCTTTGCATTTTCCCTTGCTGAATTTCACAAGATCCCCGTTGGCCCATTGCTCTGGCTTGCTTAGATCTCTCTAAACTGAAGCCCTGCTAAAATCTATTTTTTCAGCAACCTGGCCGCATTTTGTTTGTTCAGCCCTTTTACTGCTCTTGTGGCAGTAGAGCCTCTTCAYGTTGACCTCCTTGTCCCTTGAAATTGCCAGCTCTGGTTAAATTTTGTCTTTCCTAACAGCACCCTTCCCTGCCCAGGCAATGTTTCTAAGTCCCTTCTTTGCYATGCCTTTGGTTGCATGTGCTGCCTTTTTGCTGTGGAGATCCTTCACGCGCCAAGCTGCTGCTCTGCTATGCGCTCTTCTCTTTCTGAGTACCGGGATGGACCATCCTTGTGCTGGGAGGATGCTCTCCTTAGACTTGACAGATTTCCTGAACTACTTTGCCCTTTAGGTCTGCCTCCCATGGGATGCCTCTTATCAGTTTACTTAATAATCCAGAATCTGCTCTCTTGAAGTCCAGGGTTTGTATGCTGCTACTCTCTCTTCATTCTCATTAGTCTTGAGCCCCACTRTTTGACATTACAGCCAAGATTATCTTTGATTATCACACCCCCAACCATTCTTTTTCTTTTTTTGTTAGTGAGTAGCAGCAGATCCAGTTGTGCATTATCTTGGTCAGCCCATGCATTACATGTACCAGCAATTTATCTCCATGCACAAATCTCGACTCTATGCATCCCACGGTGTTGCCCTTCCAGCAGATGACAGGAAGCTCTGCCTTGAGAACTGGGGACTGTGACTTAGGGACTTGTTTCCAGTTTTGCCTACATCTTCACCCAGAATGGGTGCTGTAACGTGCTCTCACCACAGGATCCCAGTACAGCCAGGCTGCTTATTCACAAAGAAGGCAACTCCCTTTCTGGTCTTCCCTCCAGTCCCTTCTGAAAAAATGTTCACCTGTCCATTGCAGCGCTCCATGCACACAAGCTGTCGCACCATATCTCAGTTATACAAACTGTTTGGTGATCATGCACAGATCTACTTTCTCCTGCTCGTTTCCCAAGGCAGCATGCATTTCTGTACACACATTTGAGGAAAGTTGTATCATTCCTGAAGTCCCTGAGGTGTCTTTTATTCTTGTCACCCTGTACTCTTTGCTTTCCCCTCTTGGGCACCACTATCTTGATATAGATTGTAACCCCCTAGCTGAACCATTCCAACTTTAAAGTTCTCTTTGCTGGATTGGCCAACGTGTTGGCAAAGAGGCTTCTGCTCCACTCAGCCAGGTAGATCCTGTCTCCCCCTAACAGACGTTGATTCTCTGAGAGGGTCCTATGGTTGAGAAATCCGAATCCTTTTTGTTGATACCAGCTGTAAAGGTGGTTGTTGACGCATAGAATCTGTCAACTCCTCTTCAAAATCCTCCCTTCTCCRGCAAAATTGTGGAGAAGCCGCGTGGGCCCTGCCCTTGCCATCACCCCTAGAACCATACAGTCCTTCCTGGTGCAAGTAAAGTCTTACTGGTAGTGTCCTGATGCCCACGGAGGTAAGCAGCAGGGGATAATGGTCCAAAGACAGGAAAGACAAAGCGCACGCCGGCGGTAGAAGACACTTTCCCATAGTAAGACGYCCAACGCCCCTGAGCTTAGTTAACAAAGATGTTTCTACTGCTTTCAGGCACTGGWGTTCTTCATTGTATCACTCAGTTTCTGAATGTGGCCCTCCCACAAGTCATTACATGTTCTGCTTTGGAAAACTAYGGACTACCCAACAGAACTGAAATACCGGCACAACCGGATTGCTAGTGCACGCTACAAAGGCAACTGGAGTCCTGTACTCTGGATGTTGTCTGCTTGTTTCCAGGTTTGAGCTCAAGCTGCTCCCATAGAGAAGAGGCCCCCTCTGTCCATAAAGCCCAGAACAGAAAGGCCTGTGGAAGGAGAGGCTGACAGTCACAGTAAGAAACCAGGTGTGGTAAGAGCAGACTCATGAGTGGGCTTAGGACACCTGCATGTTGGCCTTCTTGCTATAGGATTGGAGATGCCTCATAAATGCAGTGCATGGGCTAGAACAGCACACCTATGGTTAGACTACCTACCCATCACAATAAATGTGAAGAAACACAGGACAAACCAGGCTCTGAGGGCAGCCYAGCACACAGCTGGCATGGCTGAAGGACACTTTACATAGGACTTTCTTCCCTCACAGTCACAGATGTTGCAAATTGGTTTGCAGTAGAGAAAAGTAAYCCAGTAGTCTTTGGGAGTCCAATTCTACTGTAGGTGATAAGCTATGGAAGGTTCTCCCCCTTGTCATGAATTCTCGTTTCCYTTCAACATGAAGAGGGGTCTAAGAKAGAATATGTTCTCAAAGCATGGCTAGGAGGGATTGCGGATTGCTGCCTGAGCTTTGGAAGAGGCTGGAGCAAGCGTGACTGCTGCTTTGTTCAAATTCACCTTGGGCACATGTTCGGATGAGCTCTCCTCTGTCCCCTTTTCAGGGAGTGCTGAGTAGCACGTGCTTCCTCATCAGAGCTGTTCATCCTGGAGATTAAATGGGCTCCCAGTGCCAGCAGAAGGGAAGGAGAGGAGCACCGCTCCAGTGAGGTGAGAGCTTTGGAGAARACTACTGCTCTGCTGCCGTGCTCTGGTACCTGAGGGTAGCCAGGGAGCAGCTGTTTCCCTGGGTCACAATGTCCTTCGGAACTCCGAAGGGTTGTGTGCTTGCTTGTTGCATGGCAAGCAGGTAGCAGGGTGTTCAGAGAGCCTCGTGCCAAGCTTATGGATGTTCTTATTTGCCTCTTTCCAGATCCGAATACAAGCTCTTCCCAAGACCTCCAGCAACGGGAGYGGCCAGTGCACATTTTAGGCCCAGACCAAAGAAGGTCAGGGAAGGAGAGGCTGCTGATGACAGCACAAGGGAAGGTAACATAACACTGCAGAGGAGCACAAAACAGGCACAAAAAGCTTTTGTTTTGTTCTTGATAGGGACTTGTAGCCAAGGCACAACTGCAATCCAGGAACTGCTATAGCTGACGTGCTCCCCACTCTGCCCGTTTCACATAGTCTTCCTGGGAAGTGCTCGTTTCTGCAAGAGAGCAGCTGTTCCTGGATCCTGCATGGGGTCATAGTGCCATTAGAAGAGGGGGAGAAGAGGGGGAGAAGAGGAAGACTCCACTGAGGTGAGAGCCTGGGAAAAGGCACTGTGGTGGTGCTGTGCTCTGCTAGCTGTGGGAGGGAGATGAGTTGCTGGGACACAAAGTTCTTCTGAACACAGAAAAGTAACCTCCTCTAACAACCATGCCATTGCTTTCTTGGGGCACAGCAAGCAGGTAGCATGGTTTCGTGAGACTTGCCTGTCAGACTCCTCCTCTTCTTTCGAGTTCCAAATGACAGCTCGTTGCAAGACCTCCACCACCAAGAGTGGCCTGTGCACCTATAAGCCCCTTTGCAAAGAAGAGTGAGCAAGAAGAGGCTGACGATGACAACACAAGCAAAGGAAATGTAAGACACCACCGGAACTCTCTTAGATGTTTGTAGGCTTTCCCTTTCTTCTTCTTCTTCTTCCTAGGGAATTCTAGCCAAGACAGAAATGGGATGCATAGTCTAGTAGAGCTGAGGTTTTCTCTCCCATCCCTCATTTCAGGAAGTCTCCCTGGGAAGTGTCTGTTGCCCCATCCGAGCCACCCTTCCTGCAGCCTAAGTGGACTCATGGCAACAGCAGAAGGAAGGGAGGAGAGCAAGTCTCCTGTGAGGTGAGAACCTGGGATAAGGTACTTAGGCTGGTAGTGTGCTCTGGTCGCTGTGGGAGGGAAACGTAGCGCTGGGACACAGTGTCCTTCAGAACACAGAAACGTGGTTCCCTGTTACCATGCCCTGGTGTTTTTTTCAGTGACTCTGTAAAACAAAACAAGAATAACTCCTTGTACATTCTTGTTTCTAAGCCAGAAGGGGGAAGGGGAGTGTGACATAGACAGGGCAATCAATGTCATGCAGCCAAAGTCAGGTGCCCAGCGAGAGTATGGTAACGGCGAAGTGCATATTGGATATCATTATATAGGGTCCTCTTTCACCCCTCCTGGGAAAGCTTCAGGCTCAAATTCTTCTCTTAAATGCCTGTACACCA